AGGACAAAAATATTCTTAATTGTTCTGAAGTTAAAATTTTTAGTTTAAAAATTCAAGATAACATAAGTATTGGCTAGTCTCTAAATAGCATCTCTGAGAATGGCTATACGTGCACTTCTCCCTTAATATTGGTCATTTTAATGGGCTCATATTCAGAAGGTGAGTTGGGCTTAAATATTCGATAACCCGTTCTTAACCCGAATGCGATCCAACATTCCAGCGATTTGTATTACAAAAGATAATTCATTTTATACATCACTCCTTTAATTGAGTCAATTCATTAATTCTCATGTAAACCATCTATGTCCTTTGAAAGCAAATTGTATGTAAAACTGAACTATTTTACATAAAAATTCAAGTTATATACATTATCAGATTACTTCTATCTGTTGTAGCAGGTAACCTATCTTATTTTCAAGATTATAAGTTCTCACATTTAACGAAGCTTATCTATAGATGATATCCTCTAGATGATGGCCTAGTAATATAAAATATTACTTACACGTACTAATAATGTATATAACTTAAAATCTTTACATAATAATATATGCATGATCATTATGAGGTGATGTATTTCTGTATTTCCCTTAATCCTCAAGTCTCTAACTTCTAAGGCTCCCGTGCACCTGGCCACCAGCATCATTGCTAATGATTTTGCTTCATGTTGTATATAACAAATTATAAGTAAAATGTAATTCCATAAAATTAAGCTGTTATTTATATGCAGTGGCTGCTAATTGACAACATGGACTGATTACAAAATTAAGCTATATATATAGAGAGAGAGAGAGTTTCAAGCGCGAATTCAGCCGAATTCAGTAATTTTGGTCCAAACTCTATATTTGCCTTTAAAAATGTTTGACTCAAAAGATATCGAAACTTTTTTGAACAAATCAATCAAAGAAAATGAAGGGGTAAATCTTAGCTAAGCATAATTATCTCTAGAACGAAAGATAGACAAGGAGAGCACGGAGGATAAGAATTTTTTATCTCATCAAGACAAGACCTTAAACAATAATCCTACCAATCGTTTTTTGTAAGCAAGTGTTATAAGTTCAGAAGAATGCCCAGAGCCCTTACAAAGTTGTTTTACGCTCTATATATAAGGGACAAAATCCTTCTAAACCCTAAAAGACAAGTCATAGGGAATATTCGAAAGAATATTCCTAATGTCCCATAATGAGCATGCACTGCTGCAAGAGTCGTACAGTCTCTTGTTCGCCTTTAGGTCGTCCCCTGCAGGATGTCGAGCTACGAGGATCTGGTCGTTTATCGTATTCATCAACGGTCGTGGTTGTTCAAATTTGGACCCATACAAAAAGTTCATTAAATATGTATAAATTATTAATTTAGATCTCAATAATTTAAAAAGAAAGAATCTTGAACCCATTAGCTTCAAGTTCTGACTCCGCCTCTCTCCTTGTACGTCTGGAGTTGATTGATGTTGAACCAGTTTTACCTTACAGATGATATAGTCATAGAACTCGAGCTCATTTTGAACAGGACATATTTGTTATCCTTATCTTATTCAATGTTCACATTTAATTTTAATTCAACTACAATTATATTCTATCTTTAGAAGGGGAATGAATTTTTTTGTATGTATAGCAATACTTTACTATAACAACTAAAAAATATTTGGAACTATTTTTCATATTGTGTTATAATACTTGTTTTCTATACTAATACTTCACTATCAGAACAAACAAGTGTGTTATCGAGAAATTTGACCGTATATTTTATCTTACCCATTCATTCGAATTATAAGGTTTAGAACCCTTGATTCATCCTAAGTCCTAACTCATCGAGAGAAAAAAACAACTTTTTGTTTTCTGTGTGATGGTGGTTGGGAGGGGGAGGACGGATACACTGGGTGTACAAAGAAAACTGGTAAATCGCACCAACCTGATAATTCGAGTCAAACCGAGAAAAAAAATTCGACTATGGTTTAGTTTGATTTGGTTTGGTGTTGGAAAAAAAATATCCGATCATAATTGGTTTGGTTTGGTTTTAACTAAAGAAAGTCAAACCAAAACCAAACCAACCCGACATTACATATATAGAAATTTTAGATATATTTAACATATAAATATACTTATTGTGATGTAATTTATAAAAATTTCTTAAAAATTTTCATAATTTTATCTTTTAATGTATTATTTCAAGGTTGGACTAAGAACTTTTGAATGCTCCAATAAGTTTTATAGCCACTAACATTAGTAAATTAAATAATTCTAACAAAAGCCCAAACCAAAATTAAATCAATACTAATGCTAACAAAAGACATTCAATTCAATACCACGAACGGGAATGTATTGAATATCTATTTTTTGTTTTGCAATAATTTAGACAAAAATGCATAACCTATTTTTATTTTTTCTTTAGCGTTTAGTCATGTAATTAATACTCCCTTATTAATCTACTTATTTTAGCATGACTTAGTACTTTTAGATTATGTTTATTTTTATTATGGCTTTTTAATTAACAATATTTATATTACATAATTTTACTGTCTTTATTGTTGAATATTATAGGATAATGCCATGACACATCTCATATTTTGTATTATTTTCTTGGAAAATATATTATATAGTTGTATCTTACCAAGATTAAAGAAATATTTTGAGCACAATTTATTTCTATGAAGATTTAACCAAAAAAAACCCCGAAAAAATCAGAAAACCCCGAGAAAAACCGAGAGTGAAAAATTCGAGTTTTATTGGGTTGGTTTGGTCTTTAGATTTAATAACCCGACACAATTGGTTGGTTTGGTAATTGTAAAATCCGAACCAACCCGACCTATGTACACCCCTAGATACATCTTGCGGCAAGTGGTGTCACGTCAATTTCATCGAATATGTATATATAGATAGTATACAAAATAAAAATATTGAATATAAATATAAAACTATTCATCACTTGTTATTATAGTGATTTATTCATTCATTTATTTCTGACACTTACCAAAAAAGAAATCCTACGTGTGGGGAGACAAACTTGCGGCCTCATAGAGTACAATCTTTACAAAAGTCTAAAATTGACAATTTCTTTTTATTTATAACACTTTTTTGGGTAACAAAATTCATGATACTTTCTTCAAATTCTTTTGTAGCTTCAAAACAGTGACATTCAACCTTTAAAATAAAGAGTTTAAGTCTTATGCATTAACGATATCAGAAGTATTTTCATAATTAAAATATATGATCAATATAATTGATATTACTAATTGTAAATTAATACTTAATTGATAAAATGATAATTGACATACAGTAACATATTAAATTATTAATTGTGTTAAAAATATTTATATTATTCATATCTATAACTTAATTTCTAAAACGAAAGTCACGTCATTGTGCAAGAGAAAAGAACAACCAAACTTTTTTAATTCATCAAGAGAAAAAGACAAAGGCATAAAATGTTAATCTCCACTAAAATAGAAAATATCGCCAAAACCACAGAACTACAACTATAGGCCAAATCACATAGTAGAATATATCATTACTATCAATGCGTCTCTTGATTAGACCTAATATCTCGATTAAATATTTACTTTTTTAAAAAAGATATTCAAACCTCAAATTAAATAGCACGAAATCATTATCTCATGTGGAAAATAAAGGAAAATCATAATTACTTATTTGCTGTAATGTAGTTGGATAACCATATTTGTAATTCCCAATGTGAGTAATTATTGTCCTCTCTATAGTTTCTTATTTTATTTTTCACTTTTTCCTTTTCTATTTCATCCTAAGTTGTAATGTAGTTATTTTATTTGTAACTTCCTACCAAACGCTCTCATGCCAGAAAAAGAAAGGGAAAAAAATAAGTGAGTTTTTAATGGCCTCTTATGTTTGTGGCAAGTCCATTTTCATCCCCGTTATATTACCTGAACACATATAATCTTTAAAAATTGCAAAAGTTGAGCATTTTTAGTCTAATTGATGAAAATCCAAAATGAATCATTTAAAACTATGTCATATGTCTTCCATATGACCAATCTAAATAACAAACGTGAATGCGATTTTCTTATCCAGTGCATTTTCTCCTGATTGTAGTTTATTTTTATTACTATAGACTTCTTTTGTATGAACTTTTTTATATTTTGTTGTTAAGTAAAATTTTGGAAGATCTTTATCAGGGTCGTCTTTTACTCTAATCACGTGGAAAGCACATGATATTTGTTCGAGTTTTATGGGTCATATGACTGAAGTGCTCAATTTTTAAAACTTAAAGGACCATATGCGCTCAAGATAATAATAATAAGGATGAAAATGACCTAGCTCAAACTTAAGATACTATTTGATTTACAAGTTCAAAAAAAAAGTTATAAAAATAACAGTAATAAATAAAGGAAATTAACGTCCTTGCTTGCCTTCAACGTTCAGCTTACCCACCCTTATGAAAGGTAGATAGACATAAATGATTATATCTTGATTTCTCCTTTTCTTGTTAGGTTCAAAAGGTAAAGAAAAGGAATGACTTCCTTTTAAATCCAATTCTAATAACTACTATAAGACAACACTATTATTTGACTGTCAAAAACACAAATTCCTCAAACTTTTTTATATAAAAAATTCTTCGAAAAACTCGCAGTTGTTATTCATGCATCGGAATCTGCTTACTGTGCAATAGCTCGCAAACTACATAGGAAATGAAAACCGTACTAGAAAAGGTCGGTGTTACGAGCTCTGACTGAAGAGGCTGTTGGTTAGCGGAACCGATCTAACATCTCTCTCACACGTGGAAAACCACTCACACAATTAACTCAGCCAATCATTACGGGCTAATTCCTGAGACTTTTGTCCCTTAACTTTGTGCACTATAAACTGTATAATTAAGCTCGAATGTAACGCCAAAAAAGACAGAAAACAATATAAACCCCCATTACAAATTCCATAACAAAGGCCAATTAGCTAACTTCTCTTGTTTCTTTGCTTTCTTTCTGGTCCTTCCAATGCATGTTGCTTCTCTTTCTGATTCTAAAGTGAGTGTCCTTTTGTTGCCTGTAGTAACATATTTCAAGAAAATATAGGCACTAAAGTGACAAAAAGAGAAAATGTTCAAGTTGCAGAAGCAGAATAACAAGCAGACTAAATCAGGAGAAAGGGTTGATTTCAGATTCTCCAATTTCCAAGCACTTCAGGTACAACTTCACTTCCCTTTTAGACTCTTTAATTAGTATTTGGTCTAAAAGGACAGCCCGGTCTACCAAGCTCCCGTTATGTGCAGGGTCGGGAAGGGCCGGACCACAAGGGTCTATTGTACGACAGTCTTGCATTTCTGCAAGAGCCTATTTTCACGGGTTGAACCTGTGACGTCATGGTCTCTTTGTTTTATTTTTTCCAGTGCTCTGTTTGTATACTGATATTGATGAATGACTCAATTTGGCTGCTATATTTGCATTTAGCATTTGTTCTTGGAACAAAAAGCTAAAAGTTTTAATCCTGGGATACAAAATTTAGAAAACACTTTACCTCTAGATTCAATATTTGTAACTGACTTAGCTTTCTCTTCTGATATTCTTCTTAATATAATAGTTGCATATTATTATTACTACTTAGGGTATAATTGTTATCTTGGTTTCGGTCTTCTCAGTTTATCTTGTTGTTGTTACTACGTACTGCCTTTACTACTTTCATCCTTTCTTTAGTCGAGCGTCTATCAGAAACAGTCTCTCTGCCCTTCCAGAGTAAGGATAAGGCTGTGTACATCTTACCCTCCCCGGACCCTAATTCTGGGAATTTACTGGGTTTGTTGTTGTTATTGTTGTTGTTGTTATAGCTGCATATTATTGGATTCAAGATTTGTGATTGCATGATGGGAAGCAACAACTTGACACCATAATTATAGTCATATTCGAATAATGTCAAGTATTGAATTTTGAGGGGTTAATCATACTGGGATAGGTTGATTGTTGATGGTTGAGATCAGAATTATTTGTAGGCATTTGGACACTATTTGGTTGAAATTGAAAGAATGAGCATTTGAAGTTGAAGTTGAAAAATGAGTATTTAGAAGTTACTATTAATTAGAACAAGTTCAAATAATAAGATCATGCAATATGACTAAACTCTAGTTTGGAGTTTCGTTTCTAACAGTGCATCGCTTTTCCGTCTTAATTTTGATTCCCTTAATGAGGTATTATGTGTGATTATATGAGGATCATGACTCTCCTACCTTTGGGCTACTTAAAGCTCCTCCGTCAAAACATGGCACTATGGCAGTAACTGAATTACCCTAGAAAGTAAAAATATACTGAAAGGTAGACAAACTTAACAATCGAACTGTTTGATATAATGCTTAAAGAGTCCTATATGCATCTAGTCCATGATGTTTTAGTTGATTCAATGGTACTAAAGAGCTCCATAGTGTGGTGTCATTCAGCTTGTTGATATAATAATATAGCAGCCATTCTGATAGTTTTGATTATGCATGTTGTAATGTGGTATAGGTACCAAAAGGATGGGACAGGCTTTATCTGTCTATAATCTGTGTAGAGACTGGAAAAACAGTAGCAAAGTTGGGCAAAACACTTGTGAAAAATGGAAGTTGTCAATGGCCAGAGACGCTTTTGGAATCGGTTTGGATTTTACAAGATGATTCCTCTCTGGAGCTTGAAGAATCTCTCTACAAGTTTGTTGTTTCAATGGTATGATCGCGAAGTCCTATCTTAAGAAGCTTTAAGATGACTTGCTTATTCAATCTCTTAATCATGCTTTCAACACAGGGCTCTGCTAGATCTGGCATACTTGGAGAGGGAACCATTAATTTGGCATCATATGTTGGTTCAAGATTGTCTTCTCCTGTTTTGCTTCCTTTAAAGAAATGTAATCAGGGCACAACACTACAGGCAAGTCTTATGATTGATAAGTCCTTGATTTATTTCCCCCACCATTTTGTAGTATATTGTAACTAGAAAGTTGGTCCATGTAAAAACTATACCTTATGGGAAGCAGTGGCAATCACTGACACCCATTTGCCGGAAAATTACACTGTTTAGCTTGGTCAAAAATTATTTTTGTGTATATATACTATATGTTATATGTTTATTCTCCTTTTTTCCGTGTGTTTACTTTTTTTTTATATATATTTTGACATCCGTTAATAAATTTTCTAGCTCCGTCACTGATGGAAAGCACTAAACTCCCTGGGAACAAATTTCCTCTATGTTATAGTATATTCTTTTTAGAAACTTGGAGCCTTGGACCATGTGAAATGCAGAAAGAGGGCAGCCGGTATACTAAGCTCCTGCTACGTGCGGGGTCCGGGAAGGGCTGAACCACAAGGGTCTATTATACGCAGTCTTACCCTGCATTTCTATAAAAGGCTGTAAATGCAAAATTAGTCAAATAATCTGTTATAGGAACAAACTTCCTCTATATCTAATGCCTCATCACAATAAATTTTCATGCTGTAAGGTGACATTTATCCTTTATGCCTATACTACTAAGATCAATAAACATAAGATGGAATTTCTCCAAACTTTTTGTGTACTGAAATTCTTATCAATCTTGTTTACAGTTGAAAATTCACTGCCTAACACCAAAGAGTAAATTCAGAGATGAATCAAAATCCTCAGTTTCCAATATGAAAGAGCAGGATCTTGATCATGATATTACCAGTAAATCGAATGAGTCTGATAACTTATCTGCTGGGAGTGATGGACTTCAGTTTACTCAAGATATAGGCTCTAACTCGGGTCCAAGCAAATTCGAGATCAAGGTACTGATGCAACTTAATCCACTTTTACTGTTCCATTACCAGTAAACTTGACTACTTAGTTTTACCAAGAAGTTATATTTCCATCTTATTTAGCATGCTCTTTTGTCCCTTAGATTATAGTAATGCGCCAATTTGTTGCATAGGCCTTCTTAGGCTGGATAAAATGCAATCATATGAACCACCGACCTCAGACTCCACTTATGGGATTACGGCTGAGTTTGTTGTTGTTGTTGTCGCCAATTTGTAGCATATGCCTTCTTAGGCTGGCTAAAATGCTACCATATGGACTATTGACCCCAGACTTCATTTGTGGGATTACACTGGGTTTGTTGTTGTTGTTGTCGCCAAATTGTAGCATATGCCTTCTTAGGCTGGCTAAAATGCAACCATATGAACCGTTGACCCCAGACTCCACTTGTGGGATTACACTGAGTTTGTTGTTGTTGTTGTCGCCAATTTGTAGCATATGCCTTCTTAGGCAGGCTAAAATGCAACCATATAGACCATTGACCCTAGATTCCACTCGCGGGATTACACTGAGTTTGTTGTTGTTGTTGTCGCCAATTTGTAGCATATGCCTTCTTTGGCTGTCTAAAATGCAACCATATGGAGCATTGACTCCAGACTCCACTTGTGGGATTACACTGGGTTTGTTGTTGTTGTCGTCGCCAATTTGTGGATGGACCATTGACCCAGACTCCACTTGTGGGATTATACTGGGTTTGTTGTTGTTGTCGCCGCCAATTTGTAGCATATGCCTTCTTAGGCTGGCTAAAATGCAACCATATGGACCGTTGACCCCAGACTCCACTTGTGGGATTACACTGAGTTTGTTGTTGTTGTTGTCGCCAATTTGTAGCATATGCCTTCTTAGGCTGGCTAAAATGCAACCATATGGACCGTTGACCCCAGACTCCACTTGTGGGATTACACTGAGTTTGTTGTTGTTGTTGTCGCCAATTTGTAGCATATGCCTTCTTAGGCTGGCTAAAATGCAACTATATGAACCATTGTGGGCTAAACAGAAACTTTAGACATTCTAATTTCTGCTGTGTCGTACTGAACTCAGCTTTAAGTAGTTAATTCTCTTCCTATTTCAGTGTCCTATGTGGTTGATTAACTCTTGTTTTCATTTCAGGAGAGAAGTTTCTCGGTATCTGGATCGAATAACAGCTTTATCTCAGCTGAGAGCTTTACCCGAAAAGTAAAATTTCCCTCTACATATCACTTAAAGAGTGAAGGATCCAATCACACAGGCAAACAAGTTAGAGCAAATCCTGATATCGACAATCATTTTGTTTCAGACCAATCATCCTATAATACAAAAGCCACAGGTTCAATGGAGAATCTGCAGAATAACAGAAAAGATTTCACAGCGTCTTCTCTAACGAATTCCAGCTCTTCGAGGAACATTCTAGAAGCTGCAGAAGATACAATTGAAGAACTCCGGATAGAAGCAAAGATGTGGGAGAGAAATGCACGGAAACTAATGCTCGATTTGGACATACTGAGAGAGGAATTCTCTGCTCAGTCGAAAAAGCAAGCCGACTTGGTTATGGATCTCTCAGCTGCCTATTCTGATCAAGGTAGCTTGAAAAAAGAGATTGAGAATCTGAAACTAATGTTGGAGGAGTCGACAGCAAAACACACTGCAACGGCGGAGGATTCAGTATTTCAATCAAAAAGTCAGAATCATATCCAAGAGGAACTTGAAAATGAAATAAGACATCAGCAAGAGTTGAATGCCAGTTTAGCCTTACAACTGAAAGGAAGTCAAGAGTCAAATATCGAGCTGCTCTCGCTTCTTCAGGAGCTAGAAGAAACTATAGAACAGCAGAAAGTGGAGATAGAGAAATTTTCATCTCTGCATCTGAGGTTAACTGACATGAAAAATTCCGCCACAGCAGATTCGCAAGGTAAAGCCAATTTCTCGGTCCAGTTCCAAGAACAGGAAGAATCGGAAGAGACATTGCGAAGCAGCGTCCAATCCCTCACAAAAGCATTACAAGACAAAAATCATGAGCTCGAGAGTGAACGAATAATGAGTAGAGACATTGAAGCATTACGAGAGAAAGTGCAGGAACTAGAGAGGGATTGTGCTGAGCTTACTCAGGAAAACCTGGACCTGTTAATCAAGTTTAAGGAGTCCAATAATGAAATCCCGAGGGGAACAACTGAATCATTTGAAACTGAGAAGAGTGGTATCACGTCCCATATTCACTATGACAAAGAAAATCTTGATAGCACACTGACACCCGTGGAAAAAGTTGGTGAAAATGAAAACTCAGAACACTTCAGTAAATTAGTGAAGCAGCTTGAAGTAGCTTTTCACCTTCTAAAAAGACCGTGGTATGAACTTTCTTCCCGTGTAAGTGATCAGTGCCAAAGTCATCTGGATAACTTGGCAAATTTGAGCGAGAACAGTGAAAGCTCTCCCAAGGTATTGGCGAGCTATATCCTTACAAATATGTTTGAGCTGAACCATCTCTTAGAAACTAGAATTGTCGAGTACGAGGAACTTCTTAAACAGCATGAAGAGGAGATCCAGGAGAGAAATAATTCTGTTGCAGAAGCTAAAAGAAAGCTGGAAGATTACACTCTTGAGTTTCAAGCTCATGAAAGCTCAAAGGCAGAACTACAAGTTCAATATTCAAGCCTACTAAAGGAGTTGGATCAGAAAATATCCGAGTTAGATAAGTTACAAGCTGACTTACAGACAAAGGAAGAGGAGACGAACCGTCTTTCGGAGCATCAAAGAGAACTAGAAGCTAAAGTTACTGATCTTCAAAAGGAGAAGGATGCGCAAGTTTCGGAGAACAAGCTTCTGGAAGGGAAATTAACACAGCTCGAAAGTGAAAACGATATATTGAAAGAGAAGAATGAAAATATGGAAGCACATAGGCTCATGACAGTCGAGAGAGAATCGCGTCAATCAGAATTAGAAGAATCAAGGACTAATGTAATGAATCTTCAAGAAGAAATTGGGAAGTTGGAGAGCGAGATGAAAACTAACATTGCTGATCTCAAAGAAGAATTAGAAGACATGCAGATCCTATGGTCACAAGCTCGAGAAGAATGTGGACATCTCACAAATGAGAACGAAAAGTTACAAGAATCTTTGCAGAATCTTCTTGAAGAGTACAAGACTGTTCAGCACTCAAATTCGGAAATGGAAAGAGAGAACTTGGAACTGCACGAGCGTCATTTGCACCTAGAAGCTCAACTTCACGAATCGCAGAAAAGGTCGTCTAATAGCTTGATAAAGGTTAAAGCTCTAGAAGAAAATCTCAATTCAATGTGGAAAGATTTTTCCTTGGAAGAAGAGAGACTGAATGCTGAACTTAATGAACTCATTCAAGAGAACAAGAAGGAAATTGAGAAACTTGTGCAACAAGAAAGTTTGTCTAATCAAAGGTATTCAGAGAAGTCGACGGAAGTTAAGAGCCTCAAGAAAGAGGTAGAACAACTAACTAAGCAAATTTCTGAAATGGATGAGGAAAGGAGATTAGCTTCTGATGCTGTTAATGAAGTTTCCAGTTTGCGCGCTAATAACGCGATGCTGGTATCTGCACTTGAAGATGTTCAATCAAAATTTACATTGACTGAGAAGGAGCTCAGTAATGTAAGAATAGAGTCTGAGTTGAAGATCCAAGATTCAAGACGAAGTTTTGAGAAGTTGACGGTTGACCATGAAAAGATTTTGAAACTTCTGCCGAATTATAGGGCAAATGAGGAAAAGCTCAAGACAGCGATTAATGACCTTGAGTTGCAGCTCACTCTTTCGCGCTATGAACACCAAAAGCTTCATGAAGAGAGTGCTAATCTTAAATGTCAGTTGCAAAAAACAAAGGAACTTCAGGAAGACGTCGACTATCTGAAGAGCGAGCTGAAGGAATGTAGGTCTGAAAAGGAAAAGTTAGAAGCATCACAGAATATTATATCCGTAGATTATGAAAAAATGAAGGCCGAGAAGGCCTCTTCTGCCGGTAAGATCTCCGATTTTCAAAAAATCTTGGCTGAGTTGGAGAACAGCAATAAAAACAGAATTTGCTTGGAACAAAAACTTGAGCAAATGGAAAGTGATTTAACCGAAAAGGAGAAATTCTGCGCACAAGTGGCTGGTTTGAAAAATGAGCTTAGCGAAACTAAGAGAGAAAATGATCAATATCAGCAGAAAATACATAAGATGAAGGAGGAGAAGGATAACTTCTTGAGAAAAGTTCAAGCACTTGAAGCAGAAGTGAAAATGATGGAGGAGGAGAAAAAACTATATGCTAAAAAGGTTAGCTTATTATGAAATTCTTTCATATTGTTTTACTACAGTCAATCCTCTCTATAACAGCCTCGTTTGTTCCGATATTTTTTGGATGTTGTAGTGAAGTGTTGTTATAGAGGACATATATTACAATATAACATAAAAATCGGTCCCCAAAAAAGCTTGGCTTTTATAGTGAATGGTTGTTATATAGAGATGTTGTTATAGAGAGGTCGGACTTAACTTAAATTCTGTTGAATGACAAAACTTCATGTTCTATGCAGTTTGAACAGAACAATACTCCAAAGAGCACCAATAAGTACACTAACTTCAATAGAGTACATCAAAAGCTTAATCAGTCGCAAGAACTTCTGGTGGATCGACTTCATTCAGATCGGAAGTATAGCGAATCAGAGGTCTTTTAAGTTTCTAATTTTCCCTTTCAAATGCTTAACTCCGTGGTTGCACTTGTAATATATACTTTTGCTAATCCAGGGTGAAAATGGTTCCGCCGATGGAATTGCTTATTCTGCGGAAGTCGATTTTTTGGCTAGAATACAGTTGCTTGAGAACAAGCTTGCTGAAGCATTAGAGGCAAATAAGAAGTACAAAATTCAGCTTCAAAGGTAGGTGTTAGATACTTATAACTCCGAATTTTACATTTATATTTAATATCATATACTAAAGCTTTGCAACCACGTCCTTTGTTTTTGTAAATTGCTATTGAAATCGTTGCTCACTGATTGTTACTATTTGATGCTATTTTTTCTCCCCTTTTACTAGACATTGTTGCTCCCTCATGGTTACTATTTGATGCTACTTTTTCTCCTCTTTGCTTATCGCCTTCCCCCCCCCCC